CTAGACAAGTAACCAATCCTTCTCACAATTTCCTTGAGAATGGAGGATCAAATAGTAGCTTTATAGTAAAAACTTAACGACGCACTTAATCTGTCGACAAGCCCATTGCCTAATTAGAATTATGTGGAAATAAAGTGCGACGTTCAGTTTTAGATATAATAACAGTACTATTGATAGATTCTAGATCTACAGTACTATGTAGTACTAATTAGAACTTTTATAGTAGGTTTCCTATTGGATTGACTGCAGGTGTAGTCATTTTGAGTTGTTCGGTAACACTAACGTGTCACGATGACTGAGTTAGACGTAACGAAGCGCGTGGCGTCCCCGCCAGGTTGGAGAATTCTAAACGAACAATTTTGTTCGTCGACACTTGGACGCTTAGAAATCCAAAACTGAGCGGTCTATCCATGTATAACTCTGGTTTAGGACTTAAAATAATAAAATTTTGGCAATTTTGTTTTAAATACTTAAAAGTAGAGTCATGTATTCCAGTCTAGCGCATTTAAAGATAGTAAACCCCCATAAGAGCCTTTGAATTCAGTTTTTTGTCTCTCCTGCAAAATTTACGAAATCGGAGTTGGACTGTTAGAATTCTCCGCCGACGATATAGGGAATCAGGCTTACTCTGCTCACCTCTCTAGCTTCACCAGTACAAAGTCTGCTTCAACTATCAAGGCACCCCGGAAATAGCGGGTCACAAGAGTGTGACAAACAATTCAAACATACAAAAGAAGTAGAGGGAAAATGACAATAGTAAGGATTAGGAAAGAAAATGCAGCAGTTCCCTGTTGCAGTTCAGGCACAGTTATGAGCATGACACTGATGAATCAGCCCATTTACAATTTTACTGAGCAGAAGAACATGTTAATTTCCCCCCTTTGGAAAAAGCCTTAAAGACACTTCAGTCAGTGGCACCGCCCCCGGGGGGGGGTGGGGTGTCAGTAGGTTGGTCCATCTATCTGTAGCCGCACAAAGCACTTAGTGACTCGCGCATGTGAGCATTCACACACGGCCACTCACCCACTATCTCTCAGACACTGCCTCTCTAACAAGTAAACCACATCCACACACAAACAGCTTTTGAGACAAGCTTATATTCTGCCACAGGACAGTCGCATAAACCTGCAAAATGATTAACACACCAGAGGTCCTCGGCATTTTTCCACGGGTGACCTTATTTAGGCCACATATTACCTAAAAAAAGCTCAACTCCCCTCCCTTACCTTATTTAGGCCACATATGGCCTATATAAGCTAGCCACCAACCTGACCTTATTTAGGCGACATATAAATAAAGAGAAAAAAACCCTCTTCACATCCTTCTTCCATCACATCAGGACATGTAATGAATCTAGAATCAATCTGAGGTCCTTTTCTGCATCTACCAATTTTCAGTTAAAAACTCGTGCCGTTAGTCTGTTTGAATTACTCGTACTGAATTTATTAATAAATGTGTATTTTCTTCGAAAGTGGACAGGTAGACCTCGGGGTGTAATCTAACATTGCTGTCGATCTTGTGATAAAACCGACTAACCCACAAACCATCCCCCCAAAAATTTATTGGCCCCATCGATAGTAAATTGTCCATTTCATATGATCACTCAAACACAGATCTGAATTTTGTCTAGAAATGTCTTTAACCCATTGCACCTGAGCTATGAGTATATTCGTAGCTGCTGCGCGCTTCCGTCCACAGAGCTACGAGATTAGTCGTATCAAAATACCAGTCCACAAATATCGAGTCCGAACCACTTCAGATTTCTATTGAAAATAACAGGTCGCTTGTAGCTTGTAAAAACTTTTGCAAGCCTGTTTCGATCCAGTTTTTTGTCAAGTACAAGTTACTTTTGTTGGGGTTTTTTAACCGCAAATCAAGACAAGAAAGCGGGTACTGAAATCTTCATGGACGAGAAGAAGAAAAAACCTGCCACAAAAAAACAATGCCACAGCTATTTTTGTGTTTGATGAAATACATGAACCGTGTTTTTAGTTTGTTTTAGCAGTGCTTCCACCAGCTGAAGCTGAAAAGTAAGGAAAATTCTGCAGGGGGTCTGGGCCCCAACAGGGTCCAGGGACAGCGTCCCGATGGGGGTTCAGGGGGCCCGAAGAAATTGAAATTCAGTGCTTTTAGAGGGTAGAAAATGGCATTTGGGAGCCTGTTTGAAGATATTGCCTACAGCCCATAATATTTATTTTTTCACCAACATTTTGTCTTGTTTGACTTCATCACCAGCATATCCTTCCAATGCTGGAAATGTTTAAAAGCAGGTTCCCCTTTCATTGCCACTATAATTCAATTAATTTGTAGTCGCACCATTGACAGCAGGCAAACCTGGGAATAATGAATAGATGTACCTTCAACATACGGTTGGCAGCGTATACCCACATTTTTACTAAATTTTCATGTCTGAAAGTCGCCTGTCACAACCTCGGAACACCACTTCGAATTATTCTTGATTTTATACGTGGTGCTCACTATGGACGGGATCGGCCGATCGTGCGACTCGATCACCTCAAAAACAAACATGTTTGTTTTCAGTTTTAAAGCAAACACGGTTGTTCGACCGAGTCGTATCAGCATATATTTCTTTCATCGCGGCCCTTATATTGCGTTCACATGCCGCAGAATCTTCGCATTGATAATTTCTCTAGATCTAGATAAAATTTGCGAAAAAAGTTTCTTTCCGACAGTAATTTTCTGTCTAAGATCAAAATCAGTCTTGATCAACGCGCAGATTTTCCAGCCGCGGCAACAATCCAAAGATAGACAGAAGAAATGAGTGAATGACAGAAAGGAGGACGTTGGCACAAAAGGTTCGCCAGATTTTGATCCATCTGCAGGTAAAAAATGTACTGCCGACCAATACGCAATGAATGCATGGGACTGGGACATAGCGGTATAATGTCCAATTGCAGGAAATGCGCAATTTGGCTGGTTTCTATAACGTTAACTTGTTGCCGAGAGAATTACCGTAAATATCCGTACCTTATACAAGACAATACGAAGGCGAGTATGGAATTTCGGCAGTCCTGCACTGTCGCAGTTTTTTTTAACGGAGGGAGTAGATAATGATGGAGGGACAAGTACGGAACTGGCAGAAAGTACGGATTTCCGAAAAATTCGGAAGAGTGGAAGCACTGTTTTAGGCAAAAGCGGCAAAAATAGTGAAAGTAGACCTGAATCTAGAAAAACAACGCAATCGGATTGATTTTAGTCTCTTGAAAACTTCGAAGAAAAGCTAGATCTTGACCATAGATTTACTATAAGTTGCTATGGTTAACTCACTTCAGACGGGTCACACAACAGTTGCGTGACCCCCGCCGCGACGCTCGCGACGGGA